TCCAGTGAAATTTGGGGAGATCTCTGAAAATTTTTGCTTCAAAAATCGTCGACATTGACTCTCACCAATAAGAAAAGGAAATCAAAATTATTTACAATGATTATTCGCAATCAGGAACATTTAAATCGCGCAAATAATCGTTATACTCGAATTTTTCCCAAAAATTCAAGGACATCGACGAGATTTTATTTAGCTCGAGTTGCCACGTTAAAAGCGCAAGCGTAACGATTGTGTTTTGGCAGATTTCCAAAGGTATCAGGCATGAGAATCATGCTGAAGGATCTAGCGTTGTGTTACAAGGATCCAAATCAGCCAGGACCTGGCCACTACGATCCGAAATCACCAAGAAAGCCGAGAAACACGAAGAATTATCCGTTCAATATGAACGTCGAATTTATACGACCTGTTACATTGTCGGAAATTCGTCCTGGTCCAGGTAGATACACCATTAAGGATAAAAGACCCATAGAAGGACATGGCTGGACCTCTGTCTTTAAGAGCAAGGCTCCACGAACCAATTTTATCGTTATTCCTACCTACAATGCTTTTTAAACGACACTCACTTCATTTTTTATACGATTAATTAAATATTTCATTAAATTTCAAAGTGACTCACTTCTTCTTTGTGGTTTTCAGTTGGTTTGTACGTAACTGGGAGCTTCAAAATCGAGCCTGTTTCGATCGTTTTCCCTGGAGCCACGAAAAATGGTCCAAATGGATCCAATAGACTCACTTCAATCTTCACGTTTCTGGTTATAATAGTTTTTTCAATTTTTCATTTTGTGCTTTAGGTGCTTTTTTTGGGAATCTTTTATTTTTTTTTTTTTAGTACTTACCGGGTGGAGATATTTTTTATTAGGAGGAATTTCCTCGATGAAGTGTCGATCGCTGTTGATCCAAAGTTTATTTCACGATTTTCGTTCAGAATTAAAATTTCAGGTCTGGTAATCGGGCAAGTTAATTTTGCGAATAATAGTTCGTCGTATTTCGAGCCGTTTTTCATTTCCAGTTCTATCATGCATGTTATAAAAATCGTGGCAATGCGTGGTTCGAAGGTTTCCAGTAGCCTAATTTCACCAGCTAGCTTGTCCATATCAGAAAGTTCCTTTTTTTCATCAGGTTTTTCCTTCTTCGTCACTTTCCTCTTCTTTTCTTTCCCTTGTGTGAATGTATGATTACTTCCTTTTATATAAATGCTTTTTAAAAATGGAAATACCTTTTTGAGTGGATTTCTCGTCTTTCTCAGATTTTGCTTCCTGTTCCTCGATGTTCATTCTTAGTTTAAGTCCTTCTTCGGAGATCAGATTTTTGGGTAGCCTTGGTTCGAACATAAAATTCACCTGGATAAGTTCGCTGCTCTGCAAAGTGCCACATTGTGGTACAATTTTAATTCGATCGGAGGAAGTCTTGAATTCGTAACGAGCTGTGAATTCTTTCTGTTGACTTTTCACTATTCCACAAGTGCAGTTGGGGTAAGAGGCCATGTTGAAGCCCCTCAGGTGCACAGAAGCCTAAACAAATTCATTTAGGGCAATAAAATTATCAGGTGATAAATTTATAAAAATTTACTTGTCACAAATTTTCTTAAACTTTCAAATGCTTTTCATTCAAATGGTTTGCTAAATAAGTAAATAAACACATTTCTTAATTAGAAGCTGAGTGTCTAACTAATCTGACTAGAATTCAGACGTTTATTCGAGGAAAGAGTTGAGTATTTATTTACCACTGAATATGAGCCACAGGGGGTCGCAGGGAATTCGATTATTTGTTCACTCAGCTCGCAGAATGTGTCCACAATGTACACAGATAGGTCTATCGTATTCTTCTCCTTTCTTTCGTCAAGATAACCAAGTTTCTCTAGAGATACATCTGCAGTCTCTTCGTTATCTAACGCAAACTGAAGCTGAATTAATTGTACAAATTTTTACGAATATTTCACACTCGTTCTTTGCCACCTTGGTCCACTTCTGATTGATTCGTCAGATCGTCAAAGTCACACTTATTCCCGTCAGTGATAGCACGTACTGTTTTAGGCACTTTTAAATTTACAGATAGTGGAGGTGGAAGACCGCGAGCTCGAGGAATTACGGTCTCTCTGTTCAACTGATTCATCAGTTTATTCAGTATTTTTTGTTTCTTGTTGCCAGCTAGCTCTGCTAGAGTAACTGCTTTTATACAGAAACTAAGAAATTAGAACTTTTCATTGATTTTTGTAAGTTGCAAAATTGAAGAAGTTGACCCTTTCACAGTTTAAGCAGAAATTAGGAAGAAATGAAAGAAACTAAAGAAGATAGAGCATATAATATTAACCTGTGAACGGGTTAATAATTGAAGAATAATAGAGTGGCTACTTGTATACAGAAACTAAACAATTGCAACTTTTCATTGATTTTTGTAAATTGCAAAAATTGAAGAAATTCACCCTTTCACAGTTTAACAGTTCGAGTCCCAAGCAGCGCGATCGCGCTGTTTAGATTTTGTGTCGAATAGACCCGGTACATTTAAACGCTATGGACAACTGACGGTGCACTCACAGTCTGTCGAAATAGCGCGCTCAACTTTTCTGACGCATGTACAGTAAATTCTCCACAAGTGTCAGTCAGTTTGGATTCTACAAGTGTCAGTATAGATGGTCCTACGCCTAGGCCTGTGTCATTGCTGGGCCCATGTTATCTCGCTCGCAGTCAGTCAGCGTGTAAGGATACACAAGTCGGTTTCCTTTACGAGATTTCACGGCTCGACATCATAATAGAAAAATATAATTTCTTTAATTTTACTTTTTTTCATCTGAAATTTTTTTTAACATGTTGGTGAGATTTTTCTGATGAAAATGAGATCAAACACGATATAATTTGAATAACATTTACTTATTAATACTTATTGAGTAATTAATTTAATGTCGGCCTACCTCCACGTCAAAAAAAAAATGTAGGTCCGATTCTACAAGTGTCAGTCAAATGTAGGGCTGATTCTACAAGTGTCAGTCAAATGTAGGGCCGATTCTACAAGTGTCAGTCAAGTGTAGGGCCGATTCTACAAGTGTCAGTCAAATTTAGGGCCGATTCTACAAGTGTCAGTCAAATTTAGGGCCGATTCTACAAGTGTCAGTCAAACGGCAGGCCAATTCTCCAACTGGCAGTCAAACGGTAGGCCGACTCTATGTAATGTAATACAGGGCAGGGCGTCTGTTTTATCTTAATACAGTGAAATATCTGGCGTGACAATGAACCTCATCAATATGTTAAGAAAAATTTTGGGATAAAAAAACGTAAAATTAAAAAAGTTGGTATTTAAATCGCTTGGTTGCCTCGACTCACCTTTCATCCTTATCTTTTAGGGCGCGAGGCTCGAAAACGTAGTCCCTGACTCTACAAGTGTCAGGTTTAGGTTTCTTGCGGACTGACACTTGTGGAGAATTTACTGTACATCGCTTCGCTGTCTTTTTTTGTCGACACAAAAGAAGAAAAATTAAGAAGCGTTATTGCGCTGTTCGGCATTTTTCGATAGTGTATTTTCAATGACCCCTGGGACTCGAACGGTTAAGCATAAAGAAGATAGCGTCTGCAATAATTTATTCATAATACTAACCTGTGAAAGGGTTAATAATTAAAGAACAATTAGACAACCTTCGTTCGCCAAATAAACCATTAGCTCCAATCTCGTTCCCAGGAATGTCAGTTAAACAAGCGGAATAAATTAAATCAAGCTTGATAGTCTCTCCAGGAAGAATTGCTCCGAAACCATAATTCGGCTGAATCTCCATAAATGCTGGCAAATTTAAGAAAGCGTACTTTTGAGTCAACAAAGACTCGTTCGTCAGAGTTATTTCTGTATTAACAGACTCGTGTGTGCAAACGTATCCCAAATCGACATGGGCTGGTTCTGGAAATGAGATTAAATTAAGAACCAGTATTTTCTTATTTATTTATTTATTTATTTTACCTAATACTAGAGCATGACACGTGGTCAGTGTAGCTAAAACTTTCAGGATCAACGGAGGTGGGTTTTCTTGATCTTGAGATATAATTTGCACTTGAAGTGGAAACTCCAGCATGTTTGATAAACGATCGTAAAATCTGAGGATAGAGAAGTGAACTTTTCATTCACTTTTTTCAATTTTTATTGAAATACACACCGTTTGGAAATGTTGACGATATTCGTTTCGGGGATTAATCTCACAGCGACGGTAGAAAATGATTCTGACTGCACTATTGTCGATTTTGGGTGAACTGACACTTGATTGCCCAAATATTTCGGTGTTTTTGTTAAGATTTCTGTATTTGAACGTCCTGAAATTTCACTCATACTGTGATACTTTAATTAATATTGGATTTATTAGATTTTGCGGAAGTTACCAGTGTTAACAATATTGAAACTTTGTTGGCAAACGTCTGAGTCGATCGTAGCAATGCCTAGATCGATACAAGGTGGGTCTAAGTGAATCGGGTAGCCAGTAACTTCGGTCCAAACTGGGACACTCTGTTTGTGAAATTAGGAAAATTTCTGTATTTTAAATTGTTAAATTCTTTCTTCCAATTTTTGTGAAAACCTGTTTTCCAAGTGTCCTGTCCTCGCTTAAGAAACAGATTTCCAGCACCTCGTGATGCAAGCCAACGTATTTTGGTCTGAAAGTGATCCTCAAATTGCACTTGAATGTTGGGGGAATTTCAATCTGATATTTTTTTCCAGATTTTTCGTTGATTTCTCCGTTTTCGTTTTCATCTGAAAAGTATATCGAATATTCCCTAATTTTGATCGTTTAAAAATGTATTTCCAACTGTTATTTCCAAAGTCAACCGACTTATGGATAAAATTTCACTTTCATCTGGAAAATGTATTAAATAATTCCTAATTTCAGTCAACTGACTTATGCATGAAATAGAAGATTTTGCACTTTCCAAGTCTGCCTGGTCACAGAACCACCAAAAACAATTTTCTCGATTATTTCTTTCCTCGATTACAACGGAACAAGACTTTGCACCTTCGTTGGAAACAGTTAGAATCCTTTCGTTCAACTTTCGATCGTCGTACTTCCAAATTGGAGCTGAAGGAAATCTGTTGTTCCATTTCAAATAATTGAAAATTAGAAAAACTAAAAACCAGATCATATTATCAATTTCTACCTAACTTCCTTTGGGTCCAGAACAGGCAAAGCAGTCTGTGGAGTGCATCGGACAGAAACACGAAATTCGTGAAAATTTTTCGTGTCGTCAGGATTCAAAGTTAGGAAAGAAATCTCTGCTGTCACTTCCTCCTCGTGGATTGGTGAAAATTTCACGTTAATTGTTACGTGCAAGCCAGGTTTCACCCTTGCAGCGTCCATAATATCAATCTAAGTTAAAACCATTTGTAAAATAATTTTTTCTTCGCGTTTAACCACTTGCGCTGGCAGCCAATTCACAGATGTCCAAATGCTACGCTGTAATTCGAAGAAGACTCGGCAGAGTTCAGCGCGAAAAATTTCATCTACTTTACACAGATACGTACACTAATTTTGTACAGAGCGATACATCTCAAAACAATCTGGGATATGTAACGCAACAAGGCATTGCTTGCATTCTACGATTTTTTTCACAAGAGCGTGGACGCGATATCTACGTGAAAGTTAATTCTTTCTGTGAGAAATTTTACACACATCCAAGGTACATCTAATAAATTAATAGTTGCTTTACGCGAGCAAAGTTTCAGGTTTCGAAAATATCGCGTCCACGCTCTTGTGGTACAGACTGTACTTTACATCTTCTCTTCTTACATGTTTTTCTTACAAACTTAACAAACAAAATTTCTCATAAGTGAAAAAGAAGATAACCGACGATTCACGTGTCTAACACGTCGTTGGCAATTCTGGGACAAAAGCATCTCGACGTGCGTCGCACGTCTTTTCAGCGCAAGTGGTTAAAATTGGAAAATTGTCATTTTCCTTTGCGTTTAAAATTGGAAAATTGTCATTTTCCTTTGCGTTTAAAATTGGAAAATTGTCATTTTTCCTTCGCGTTTAAAATTGGAAAATTGTCATCTTTCTTCGCGTTTAAAATTGGAAAATTGTCATCTTTCTTCGCGTTTAAAATTGGAAAATTGTCATTCTTTCTTCGCGTTTAAAATTTGAAAATTGTCATTCTTTCTTCGCGTTTAAAATTTGAAAATTGTCATTCTTCCTTGGCGTTTAAAATTTGAAAATTGTCATTCTTTCTTCGCGTTTAAAATTTGAAAATTGTCATTCTTTCTTCGCGTTTAAAATTGGAAAATTGTCATCTTTCTTCGCGTTTAAAATTTGAAAATTGTCATTCTTCCTTCGCGTTTAAAATTTGAAAATTGTCATCTTTCTTCGCGTTTAAAATTGGAAAATTGTCATTCTTCCTTGGCGTTTAAAATTGGAAAATTGTCATCTTTCTTCGCGTTTAAAATTGGAAAATTGTCATTCTTCCTTCGCGTTTAAAATTGGAAAATTGTCATCTTTCTTCGCGTTTAAAATTTGAAAATTGTCATTCTTTCTTCGCGTTTAAAATTTGAAAATTGTCATTCTTTCTTCGCGTTTAAAATTGGAAAATTGTGATTCTTTCTTCGCATTTAAAATTTGAAAATTGTCATTTTTCCTTCGCGTTTAAAATTGGAAAATTGACGAATTGAAATAATTATTTTCGCACCTCTACAATTCCAGGCTCCCAAACTTCCGTGTGTATTCTGTGAAATCGTAGATAAGCCCATTTCGCTGTTTTGTTTCTGATCGCCACTTTACGAGAGTAAACTTTACCCGCTTGGAAATCCTGAAGGTCGATTAATTAATTTTTTATTGAAAACTTAGAGTAAGTGTGATAATTTACTCTTACCTCGAAAATTACGGCGCTTGGAATTGCGAAAAAGCAGGTGTCTCGAGGAAACACTTGTTCTATCGACGATCGAGATTTTTTTAAGTCAACTTCTGAAAGAAATTCTTCTTCTTTCTTCTCAACTTCTTTTTCTTCTTTCATTTTTTCCACTTTTTGTTCCTCTTCGGGAAACTTCGAAGTACTTCCTTGGAAACTTTCTTGCATCGTTGGTAATTCCTGGCTGTGAACTTCCTCGAAGGAAATTTCTTCGAAACTTTCTTCGCAGATTTCTTCTACTTCGAACTTCTTTCGGTATTTTCGTTTCTTCGGTAAACGAATGCCGGTATCCATCTCTCGAACAATCTTTTTGACAATCATTATCGTCCTTTCATGACGAAGCTTCGATCTCTCCTTTCTTTCCTCTTCGTACTTCATTATCTACGCTTTCCATGAAAAATTCTTATGAAAAGTCATTTCAAAATATTGTGGACACCTTTATATCGCTCAGAGAAGAACTGACTTTCTTAAAAACTACGGAATCAGCTGGCAATGCTTCGTCAATGTCATACTCCCATCTTATTCTACGAGGAAATAGTTTTGTATCAATTTTTATTCGATAATTATACCGTATAGGAGTTTTGGACACCTTGAGATATTTTCTAAGTGAATTTTTTCTCGAATAGCTCTTCTTTCCTTCGAATGGCAGGTACGATTCCATTCTTGATGCGACAGAATGACCTAGAATACCTTGGAATTAAAGCCTTTTAGTTTGTAATTAAAATTGAAGATTGTATTTTACCTTGAATTTAATCAAAGGCAGGAGGAACTTGCATCTTTTATATTTTTCGAAATACTCTTCCCATTTCTCCCTTTCTTTTCTCAGTCGAAGCATTTTTAACTTGGACCATCTTGTGAATCTGTAATCTGCGATTAGGCCAGTTATTTCAATGCTTAATTAAATTTTCGCTGGATAATTTACGGGATTTTACGTGAACGTTTTCCAGGTTCTTTTGCAACTTCTACATCTTTCGATTCTTCGGCCAAACGTGTTTCGTCCTCTTCAATTTGCTATGCATAAATCAAAAGACCACGTGATATACTTTTAATCAGACAATTTCAGTTTCTAACCTTTGCAGTTTCGCGTCGATCTTCCTGCGATAATTCTGCACTTTTCTTCTGGTAAAGTTTCTTCTCTTTTTTTAAATTCGACAGTCCTAAAGAAGATCGTAATGAGAGTTGTTTCGGGGTATTAGTAATTATGAAATGAACCTTTCCAAGTTTCCAGATCTTCTCTGTTAAGTCTCGCTACAGTCCTCTCATCTAACAAACTTTTACTTTCTTTTCGAAAAAGTCGCTTCTTCGACAATATCTGACACGCTTTTTCCTGCATAATGCCTCTGCTTTTTAATCGTGACGAAATCTGATTGAAATTACCGAGGAAGTAGATCGAAGCATCTGTCAAACACTGCTGCTTGAACTCCATTCAAGATGAAGTGATTACAAAAGTAGCCCAAGTGATACATTCTCAGTTTCGAGATATTTGAAAAAATACTTGCTCTTGTAAGGTAATGAAAGTCAGCCTGTTTCGTGAAACTATAGTAATCACATCTTTAACAATCGTATACTTTAATTCGTAAAAGTAATGGTATCTTTAATCGTAGACTTTAATTGATAAAAGTAGGAGGTAATGATGATATTTAAAAAAAATACGACGGTCATAATTGCAAGGCATGGTTTATTCAAACAACACCCCCACCCTGGGAGTAATCATTAACGTATAATGACCGCGATTGAAGAACCACCTCCCAACATCATAACGATACATCGTTCAAATTAACCCTCACCGTATTACCCGTTCTTATAGCCCGTTGTTTCTTCCGCGAGATCTCGTGCCAGATGGAATCGTAACAGAAACGCTGCCGGGATAATGATGCACCGGACGATTACACACGGCGCTGCACCGAATGCATAATTCATACGTGTGCCGCGAACTTTGAACCGGCGCCTGTCCTCCTCTTTCTCTCTTTCTTCCCTTGATTCTCCTTTTTTCTCTCTTTCTTTCCCTTTATTCCCTTTTTGTCTTTTTCTTTCCACTTATTCCCTTTTTGTCTTTTTCTCTTTCTCTATTTCTCTCCTACCTTTCTCTGTTCCTCTCTCAGTTTCTCTCTTTCTCTGTTCCTCCCTTTCTCTGTTTCTCTCTTTCTCCCTTTCTCTGTTCCTCCCTTTCTCTGTTTCTCCCTTTCTCTGTTTCTCTCTTTCTCTCTTTCTCTGTTTCTCTCTTTCTCTGTTTCTCTCTTTCTCTGTTTCTCTGTTCCTCCCTTTCTCTGTTCCTCCCTTTCTCTGTTTCTCTCTTTCTCTGTTTCTCTCTTTCTCTCTTTCTCTCTTTCTCTGTTCCTCTCTTTCTCTGTTTCTCTCTTTCTCTGTTTCTCTCTTTCTCTGTTTCTCTGTTCCTCTCTTTCTCCCTTTCTCTGTTCCTCTCTTTCTCCCTTTCTCTGTTCCTCTCTTTCTCTCTTTCTCTCTTTTTCTCTCTTTCTCTGTTCCTCTCTTTCTCTCTTTCTCTGTTTCTCCCTTTCTCTGTTCCTCTCTCTGTTTCTCTGTTCCTCTCTTTCTCTCTTTCTCTCTTTCTCTCTTTCTCTCTTTCTCTGTTTCTCTGTTCCTCTCTTTCTCTGTTTCTCTGTTCCTCTCTTTCTCCCTTTCTCTGTTCCTCTCTTTCTTCCTCTCTTCCTCTCTTTTTCCCCTTTCTCCTCTCTTCTCCGTTTCTTTGGCTTTCACCCTTTGACCCGCGAGGGGTGTGGCACAGTAATCGCGCGTTTCTTTCCAGAGAGGTTGTGCGTCGACTCCTTTCATCGCCACACACATCACGATCAACGCTGTCGCGGGATATTTTCGTCCAACAGACACGATCCTCGCCAGTGTCAGACTGCATGGAAATGCTAGTTATGGAAATTACCATTGGAGTACGGTACAGTAGCAATCAAACTGAAGGCTTCCCTTCTTTTAACCCCTTACAAGAAGTGTACGTTGCGTGGAATCTTGCATTCCATTAAGTGATTCCGATGGAATTACATAGAGATTGTAGATGGAAAATTCTCTTTACTGGATGGCCTATTTTACGCGAAACGAAGCAAGAAAGAGCAATTTTTCACTTATTTCAATTGCCATTTAAACGGAACGAAGAGTGTGTTTCATGGAGCTTCCGATGAATATTCAAATGGTGAACCGGAAGTGTAGGGTCTTGGCGCGAGATACGTAGAAAAAAAAAAAAGGAAAATAAGTGGCAGCTACTCTACAGTAGCCATATGTCGGACAATTTCGTAGATTGATGGAGAATTTCACGGAGCAACTGACACCCGTATAGATATTTCCCATAGGCGGAGGCTGCGTAACACGTCTGTCACGCGAGTTGTGCCTGTTATTCGCTGCAGGGTGAATTAATCGACATCCAATTGCCAGCTAATAACTTTCTAATTTACGAGCAGCCGTCCGTCGAATCGTCACGCGGAATACTTGCCTCTCGACACCTCGTGTTCACTTTTTCATCACCAACGAATTACTCGTTCTTAACGGCTTACCATATTCCTATCAGATTTCGTCGAGTTTCGACCAAATTTCCAGGTTTTTGTACGAATTCGCAAACAGTTTCATTCGTTTCAAATGTCGTCACTTCAATTCTTAACCCAGGTGTCCGTAAATATTCGTAAAAATCTCGTGAATTTTTAGCGACCTCGGTTCGAAGTGGAACACTGTTCACAGAATTAGTAAAATTCCGCAATTTTTCCTTAGAGCGTCCTCAGGGAACAAACTTCCAACCCCTCAGTTTTTATCCCAATTTTCTTCGGATGTTCGTGCAATTCTCAAAAATCCCCCAAATCTCTGCAAAAATATAATTCTCGGTGTCTTTACAAGCTCGCGTGTTTTTCACGAGGCCGCGGCTATACCATGCTTCTCGTACGCGCTACTCTCCCGAAAGACACGCTCGTCTTTTGTGACCGTACGGCGTTGTGCCGATCTCGCCGTTTCCGTCTTACAAATACCTCGTTGAAGAGTGAAGAAAGGACACTCTGAAGTGTCTCCAAAGAATAAAAAAGAAATCGTGTTAATGTGAAATTCGATTGAATTTTAACCCCTTGCACTACGCTGAACCTCGGAAAAAGCCAGGCCAAACCCGACTGCCTGAATGGTCGCGAAGAGAGCCGAGTGGCGGAGCCCGAGTGTCGAGATTTGAGATACGATATCTTACGACTGAGTGCAACATAGTCGCGCCCGGATTTACTTCACGCGATGGGGCTCTTGTGAAATTCAAATGAATTTGAATCAAAAACTTTTAAAAAATACTGAAAAAAACTACACAGTCAGACTCGTGATATTCATGTTTGGCCTGAAATGTTGATAATGAGTCTGACTCGTGATATTCAAGTTTGGCCTAAAATTTTCATCACGAGTCAGACTCGTAAAAATAGTGCAAGGGGTTAAGTGCATCTGCAGTTTTTCTTTTCAATTCTCTTCTCAATCGTCATCTGGGTCGAACGTCGTCACTTCAATCTCTACCCCAGTTTCCTTCAAACATTCATGCAATGCTCAAAAATCACCAAATTTCTGCAGAAAAAAAAGAAATCGTGCTAATATCAAATTCTATTAAATTAGTAAATCTGCAGCTTTAGTACGAATTCACAAACAATTTTCTGCAAATATTCGTGCAATTCTCAAAAATCTCCTAAATCCCTGAGAAATCAGAAAATCTCAAACATCGTATTCAACATCTTCCCCAACTCTCTAAAACTCTCTAAAAATACTTTCCAATACCTCCCCCGGTCACCAATCCCCAAAAGACTTCGAAATATTTCCTACACAGAAGAAACAAAGCAGAAAAGAAAAAAGAAGAAAACTATCTCTACGA